AGCTTCCCTCCTTAGATCTTCTGGAGATGGAAGGGTCGGGGAAGTGTGTGTTAGAGACTCATCTTGAGCCTCACTTTGAACAGCTTGATTAGGTGGTGGTTGGCTGGTCCCTTCTTGGGTAGCCACATCTACTCGCTTACATGTACTTTTAATCCTCATAACCGACATCTTTGCTATAATAAAGCAATTCAGAAGTTAGATACGATTCTCCTACAACATTGGTTCTATCGCACGATCTAAGAAATGAAAGAAAAGAAACAATTCTTACATGTCTCATAGCTTCCTGTTTATAAATGTGGTGCACAACACATCCATAAGCAAGATTCTACACAGACACGACTTTGTAGACTTCCTAGGATGACCTGCTCTAATACCACTTTTGTCACGCCCAAAATACCATTAAGGAGAACCGGCACCCGTTGCCGAGAAGGCTTGGGAGGACCAACCTGTAATCATGCTCTATCTATGAACATTTAAAGGTGCTGCCATAATGGCTAACATGTTTTCATGAAAGTAGACAGTATTAACAAGCCAAAAAAAAGTGCACATGACTTGGCCGTTGGGGCCATGATGTCTAAGACACGCGACACAACCACACTTCACTATACATAGTCTACAAATCCTCAAAATGATAAAACATTATGGACAGGCCCCGTCTTACACTCAGCTACTATACAATACCAAAATACATGCTATAAACTCGGAAATCCCCGAATCAACCTGGAGCTCACCAATAGCCGCTGGATGTCCTGTTCTTCTATTGGGGAGATCTACTAGATCCTGTACCTTCAGCATGAATTGCAGGTCCCCATAGAGAGACGTCAGTATGGGAGAATGTACTGAGTATGTAAGGCATAAAGTACTGTATGTGAAATAAGAACTCAAATGAAATTATATACCAATGTAAGGATACAAGACCACATTTTCTCATATTATGGAATCAGGTACTTTACATTCTTTTCTTTACTTTATCATTCTTTACTTTACACTCTGTGCACAACATATAATACAAATGACCAGCTGATCAGTGATAGACATATAAATCAGGATGGACCTATGCTAGGCTTTCCTTTAACCCCTGGGATACCACCCGTAATATTGGGATCGACCCATGCTAGGTGATTCTTCCACCCCTGGGATACCACCCATCAATAAGCAGATTCATTTAATATCTTTCCATTAACATTTGAGAAGATTCTTTTGGTGGTCATAACATTTTGAGTTGTGGGACTATGTAGTCAACAAGTGACGTGTAATAATCATATAATGCAAGAACAACAACGTAGAGAGTAGTTACACAATTAATGAAATGCATAGGAATTGAAATAATATATGAACCTTATTTAGTTAAAAGGAGAACTCATGCAGGGTATTCAATGTATATGTACAGATTTGACAATGAACATGTATTGGAACGTGCAGACATGTTAAAGAGTGAGAACAGGATCATAAGTCGTGTTGGAGCTGGTAGGTTGCCTCTATGTGTCGAGGACGAGTCTAGATTTCATGTCAATTAGTAGGAAATCGAAAAGCCTTACATACCTTGTTGTACCACCTTGTAGTTACCTTGAAGTACCTTCCTTTCTTTTCAAATACTTATCTACAATAGAATAGGTGATAAACTAGTATTAGTAGTTACTAAACATGCTTA